TGCGACTCTGGCTGCGACTGCGAGCAACGAGGTCAGCCAGGTCAAAAAAGGAAAAATACGCACCTTCGAGTGTGTACGAGCCAATTTTCGGCGCCCCCTTTTGGACAGGATCTGCCCAGGCGCGCCGTCCTACTCCGCGTCAGTGAAAAAGATTTGGAACAAGTAAACAAGAACACCGATACCTGGTCGCCTTCGATCGGGTCCGTGCTTGCCTCCAGCTTGGACTAAGCGTCGGCCATTCAACTAGAGCGCGATAAGAAACAACGAGAACTGACCGGCCCTTCAGCTTTCCAAGGCTGAGAGACGAGTCAGTTGACAATAAAAGAATAAGAACAAGACGAACAGGGTGATCCTTGAAAAACTCCTCGTCATCATCGGCCTCGTCGCCGGCTTCAACACGGAACATCGCCGCGTCTTCGCCATCCTGCGCGGTACGATTCCGCGCCAGCTTGCGCGGTGGCGCCTTGAAAGAAAATGGGCAAAAGAAAACGAATGCATGGAGTGCGCTCACGACGACCGACGCTGAAGAAAGCACCGCTCTCTACAGAACAAAGTCAGGCCGATCTAGGACCTATAAAAGTATGAGCGCGCACCGTTCGTTTGGAGCCTTCAGGCGCCATGGAGGATCGTAAATGCGAGTGGACGGGGAGCAGAGGATGAATCGATGAATCGCGCCGTACCGGAGGAGCCGCAAGAAGCTCGCTATGAAATTCGGCGATGTCAGTTCCTTCGCGCCGGATTTGTATGGCCAAAACGTCTGCTTCCTTTCCCGTCAGTACTCTCGGTGAAGGCGGTTTCCTCGCGGCCGGATATTGGCCCAGATTTAGGCTGAAATAGGTTTGCTGACATCGGGAAATTGAACCAGCGACAGCCGCCGAAGTTTCCCAACATATTTCGCTGGGGCGCCCGACGCATTTGGATGGAACGCTGCCCAAAGAAGGCATATATCGTTGATTTCCGCCTCCAAACGTCCGGAGTCCGGTACGAAGAACGTCGACATGGCCCGAATAAAGTCATTGTCCATGAGAGGCGCATTGCATGGCGCGCGTGCAGGTCGTACTCGCTTAACAGCGAGGCTATGGGATGGGCGCAAAACGCGACCATTGCACGACCCGGCCAGAAGAAAGCGCGCTTGTGGGGACCCCATGCAATGGCAGTGGCAGTGTGACCGCTCTGCGGGGATCGACGGGAAGCGGACCACAAGACGTTCAGATCGACAGGTCTGACAGTGAAGCCCGAGAAGCAAAATTTGGGGGTTGCATCGCAGCGCGTAAAAGAAGCTGAACTGTTCCATGCAGATTGGGTGCGCAAGCCCAGACGTAAATGGCCGCGAAAAGAGAGCCACAGCGAGAGAGATGTGAACTTGAGGACTGGATGCCTCGCACAGACTAGGAGAGTCTGCAGATAAAGCGCAGGAAAAGGGAACTCCGAGCCAGCCATATCGGGACCCGAAGAACGTTCAGTTGATCGGTGGTCCTTTTGTTTTAGTATATTTTGTAGGGAGGTCCGAGTCCCGGAGTAAATACCGAGCACGCACGCCGGGAAGAAAAAAGTGAATACATAGTGGCTGAAATTGGGAGCTGAAAACTGTCACTAGCGTCGTTGGATCGATCGAGGTTTTATTTCAGGTAGCAGATCGGCCGGTTTTCCCTAGAAAAAAGTACACAAGAGGTAGCAGAGGTTGGAGCTTTTGCGAGTTGGGTCGCCACACTTTGGTGTTATGCACGAAGCGCAGAAAAGGACACGAAAACTGCGCGCCAGCGGATTCGAACTCGGCGAATGAACGGATGTGGCCGCAAGGCGGTGGTACTTCTCGTGGGTGAAGAGAACTGGGTTCTCCAGAAAGCTAGTGCCCAGTCAGAGAAAAGCAGGCTTAGATGAAAGGAGATTGGATTGAGGGCCAACCGACTATCACTTACTATCACAGCGAAAACTTTCCAAAATTCTGTCCGCGTCTCCGAGTATTCTTTTATCAACAGCGGTCAGTCCGGGATGGGCAACCGTAAGAGGTCCAGCGTCCCAAAAGAAGGCTTTCGTCGTACGCTCAAGCAGCGCTCGAGAATGAGGAGGTGTTGTGATTGCCAACAAGCACCATCGGTGGCTGTGAAAGCCGGCTAATGATTGCCGGTCGCGTGATGCAGTCTCGCACTGAAGCTATGGCAAATATACTGTGCAAAAAGTTTTTTCAACTTCACATGTTGGCTTCAACCACAACTTGACTCGATTGCACTGAAATCTTGTCAACTTGCCGAAATTCCACTTTTGATTTGCCGCAACCTGAATTTTGAGGGCTTCAACTTCGGAATGATACAACTTCGGGATGCAGCAACTCCAAAATGTTGCAACTTGAAGTTTTGCAGGTTCGACATCGGCGTCACTTTTGTTGTGCCAACTTGCATCCGGCCAAGATGCAACCTCCAATTGCTCATGTTACAACTTCCCCTCACTGTTGGGACATGTTCGGCCTTGTCGAATTTAACCGATAACCTCGGCCCGTTATGCTTCGATAGAATCGCTTAGGTAGGTCACATTCATTTCCAAGGAGTTCTTTCAAGAATCCCAGCCAATGGATCAATGCATTCCCGTAAAATACTCAGCAGCAACGAGAACAGCCCTGCAGTATGCATCTATACCCCAGTTACCATCATCAGCCATGTAATCAAAATCTCCGAGAGCCGTTCTCATCTCTTCCACCTCCTCATCGTGGTTCACGTATACCCCGGCGTCTTGTTCGGCCGCTGCATCCGCAAACTCGCTGGTATCTAGAGTATCTGGATCGTTGGCAAGCTCGTCGAGTGGGGGGAGCGGCTCATTTGAGTCGACACCATAAGACGGGTCCGAAGCTGTGGCCACATCGTCTCCGGGGTCACCAGTCCAGTAGCCGCGATTAATGGCCTTCTCGCGGCTCAACTCGTAAATAGCGTGGGGGGATTTGTTGTTGGCCGTGCGAATTTTGTGCAGATTCCAGGACGAAAAAGTTTCGTCGAGGGACGCCTGAATACGTGGTTGGAAAACAATGTAAAGGCAGACACGGTCGATCGAGGATTCCATATCGAGAAGGCCGATCTCCTCGAGGTGTAGGAAGATCTCGCGGAAAAATTGTAGGGTATCTTTGCGAACGTCTCTCCAGCCACGTTCCATCCGAATGTTTTGCGTGGAACTGTTGAACCGTAAGAGAAGAATAAATGAAAAAAAAGTGTTGTAATGAAGACTTACCGGCCACGGAGAAAAGCCCGATGAAGGACGCCCCGCTTAGCTATCATCTGTCTCTCCACGCCGTTGTTTTCTTTCCCAAAATCGCAACGGGAAGTAATGATCAATCAAGGTGATCCCAACCTTTTGTACCTCATCATATACAACCCTACACTTCGCCCCAGTGGACCTATTGCCCCAGATGATGTGAATGCAGAGGAGCAGGCCCATGTCTTATTCTGTACCTCCAAGGAACGGACGCGAGCGAATGCTTCGACTCGGACAGGTATTTACATGAATGATGAGACCATCACTGGTTGCGGCGGGTAATTCAGAAATGTTCTGACCAGCTCTTCCCTAAAGCTCTACTGGTATGCAGTTTGGAATATAATTAGGTATTATACCAGAGAAAGGGGCCGATGGCTAAGAACCAATGTTTGCCGGAAGACCATCCACCCCAGACGAGTAGGCATTGATGTTTAATGTGAGAGCAAGACTGAACCTGTCGCTCGATCTGGATATAGTTGTGACTTACACAAGTTGTACCCCACTGAAGTTACCCCATGGATGTTACGACAGAACTCAAGTTGTATTCGCCCTCTTTTCAACATGCCGCACCGGGCGAAGTTGTTTCGCCCAAGTTGCATAGCCCCAAAATTGTAGATTCGCGAACTTGTCACAACACCCAGTTGCATCTTGCGTTTGGTCTACGGGAATAGTTGCACCCGAGACCTGAAGTTGTAGATTTTATTCAGGGAAAACCAAACCTGTTCAAAAAAACTTTTTGCACGCTATATCGCCCATATGAAGCCCTAGGCGGGCGAGCCCGAGCCGCGGCTCATTGGAAGTACAACGCTCTCCGTGCACGTAGCGAGCATCAACGACGTCTCTACGACATATGCTTCCGGACACTGAAGCTTTCGATGCCAACGTACGGCGACCTCGACAACCTCGTCTCCGTCGTCATGTTTAATGCAACCCACGGATCCTTGGGTCGGATTTGACCCGGTTTTTGAGCACCCGGACTCGGATTGAGATATAGAGGCCAGTTCGTGGTTCGGGAACAAGACCCGCATCAACGGTGTACTACTAGTAGGACAACAGCACCAAACCAAAGAGCAACTCTCACCTTCAAAAAACACGGAACGACGGTTGAAAGCCTTCCCAGGGATCCTTGGGTCGGATTCGCTACCGGCCTCAACGCCATCCTTCCCGTGGATCCTTGGGTCGGCTTTGGCCCATGGCACCAGTACTGGTCTCAACGAGAGGCAGCTCTCCTCCCATCCTTCCCAAGGATCCTTGGGTTGGATTCACAATCCTTCAAAGAGATGTGAATGTTTGGATCCAAGGTAAGTCACTCAATTGTTCATTGTCAGACCATACCTGGAAGCAATCTGTTCATTGTCAGACCGTACTTGAAATTGCTTCTAGCTTACAGCTAGATTCACTGCTTTGTCTAGACGTTATTGTCTTGGTACGCTCCCTTTAATCTACAGTTTTTCTAATACGCTCTCTCAATCTACGGTTTATCTAACCTTGTGTTGGATCGAGCTGGTGAGTTGGATTTACAAGGCCGTCCTTCCCTGGCTCCCCAAGGATCCTTGGGCTGGTTTGCACGGCACACTGATCCTCCCCAAGGATCCTTGGGTCCGAGTTGGAGCTGGTAAGCACCGTCGCACTAAGCCTAACCCATCCTCTAATTCATCTCTTCTTGTATTGTGTTGGCGGCAATAAGAATAATGCACTTTGCTGGTCTCTAGACTGTTAAACCTCAGCTTCCTCAATGGATTGAGCAGGCTAGAGCACACGCCCACTTGGCTAAGTGGTTGACGGCGCATCACTTGTATAACACATTGCAATGATGAGATCACTCGTTCAAATCGGGTAGTGGGCAACAAGTTTTGCAGGCTCTAGCAGGTCCAGGATTTTTTCGCCGCCCTCATGAGCAGCCAAGGCTTCGGCAAAACTTGGCTAAGTGGTTTACAGCGCGGCACTTGTATATACACTGCAATGCCGAGATCACTCGTTCAACTCGGGTAGTGGGCATGTCTTTTTGTACCGAGCTGAGCCGATTCCAGACTTGAGCTAGGTAAAGCGTGGCACTTGTATACTTGGAGATGCCAAGATCGCTCGTTCGAACCGGGTAGTGGGCATATCTTTTTGATTGGCCGGAAAAATCTGAGCCGACCTGCTGAATCATAATGGATCCAGCTAGGTCTGCAAACTTGAGCTAAGTGGTTACGGCGCATCACTTGTATAATGCATCGCGATGATGAGATCACTCGTTCAACTCGGGTAGTGGGCATGTCTTTTTATACCGACCTGAGCCGATCCGCTGAATGGATCCAGCTAGGTCTGCAAACTTGAGCTAAGTGGTTACGGCGCATCACTTGTATAATGCATCGCGATGATGAGATCACTCGTTCAACTCGGGTAGTGGGCACTTTTTTTTTCAAACGCTCTCCAATTTTTTTTCCCCATAGGCCAGCCGACGCACCCAGGACACCCTGGGTTCGCCCACTCATTGCCGGGGCGCTTCGCGCCCCGGCACGCACCCCAGCAGTCGCATTGCACGGGGCAGTGTAGGTCTGGCCAGCGATAGATTACGGTTATTGGACCATACACGTTGGCCGGCCTCGAGCGACGAGCACACAGGCACGCAAAGTCGCCGACTCGTCGGTGGGAAGGTGAAGTCAGACCTTATTTGCCTCTGGAATCTTGATCAGAAAAGCAACATTATCAACGAAGTCTTCGCGAACGACTCCGGGTTCGTCTCGAGCAGGAAGGCAACCGGCCATGAGCAGAGGCGCAGCCCGAAGACACGTCAAGTATGTACGCAGAGACACCGACTGCGCTATCCTTTATACTAGGAGTTGCCCAAGGACCAGAACTTGGGTCGTGTAGGAGCGGAAAAGATGCATAGCGCATGTCCTCGCACTCCTGGAATCACAGAGACGAAAGGGATGTATCAGTGATGTATGCACAAGGTCGCACTGGACTAGAATTCCGAGACGAAACCAGATTATGATTCCCAGGTTAGATAGCATCGTTCTCGACAAGCTTTCCGCAGACAATGTACTTGCTAGAAAAGTGCTCGATCCAGCCTGGACGATGAGGATGAGGGTCAAAGTGCAGGCAATATGCAGGAAACGGACCTCTCATGTTGTCTCTGGCAAACAAACAAAACATCAGGCAATGGTCTCCAGGAAATAAGAATACTCACATCTCGTCCTGCTGGAGGTCGGCGAGCTTGTCGAGAGGTTGGTCGACTGGGGTCAGCATTTCTGGACAAACGGGTGAGCTGGCAGAATATATCGAGCAAGGATTCTGGTACCCAAGTCAAAGGACTGCTTGGCCATGCCCCGGGACGCATCTCTCCCGGCAAAGTTTCCGTACATTCCATCTATAACCCGTCAGGATAGGATTCGACAGAGCATGCAAAACACGAACTAGGTCCATAGAAATTCCTCCCAGCAGTAACATCGAACACAATGCCATTAATGGCCAGCAGGATGCGTCCTCCATCCTTGCCCGAGAACGGTTCCAGAGTTTTAGCGGTGTAGGTCTTGAACAAGACCGTGGGCGGGTGCGATTTGGGCATCCATGAGTACCCCGATTTGAACTCCCGGGGGACAGTGGCTGGCTTGGAGACACTCGGGTAGATGATGCGCTGCACAGAGTACAGGATAAAGAGGAACAGAGCCGTGTTCACGGGTGTCCCGAGCTGCAGTGTAAAGGCCATTAGAAAGCGCGTCACGCTCGGCGAAGTGTGTGACACCGCCTCTTCCCCGCAACGTCCATCGCCCCATTCTCCCTGGAACCATCGATGATAGTACTGAGTGTGTGTCACCGTTGCTCCAGCGTAATCCTCCTCATTTGCTCTAGATTCCCAAGACGGTAGCACGAGTAGCAGTGGTCAGAGTCAGGCTTCTGAACAACTACCAGAGTATACCAGTATAATTTCTTCCGCCGCGGCCGTAATTTTCCCGCTGACCGACGCTCTAGCTATGTAACCTCAAACCGGTCCCAACCCCCGCGCTATTCGCGTCTGCGAAGACCAAAAAATCCGCTCAGCTACACCTTTACACCTCCTCCTTTGGCCATCGATTCAAACTCGATGCTCTTGGTTCCACCACGAGATGCGGAAGACCAAGGGGAATATCGAATAGCGGTGTCGCTGAATCTCAACCCCTTCGTTCCAATCTCCTACAGCACGTCGGTGCATCGCGTGGAGGGGGATCGAGAGTTGTTTATTGGGGATTTTGAGTACGTTGAATATCATGCAAAGTAGCTTGCGTTCTGTCTGACGCTTCCAGGCTTTCATTGAACCACCGCCGTGCCATTATAACTATCGGCGATATAACGACGCGCCTCTCAAATGTCCTGTTTAGCATAAACTCTTCTCTAGTTCGTGTTCGCTCTTCCTTCTCGATCGCGACTTACCTGTTGTGCGCCGATAGAGGCATTGGACTTGGCGGTGGGATGAGGTCGGTTTGCGGTGGGACTGTCGTACTACGCTCGAAGACGGGTCTCCTATGTGTATTGTACGTCCAGATCTACCTTGTATACGCCAAGTGCTCACATTCATCCCAGTGCTATACACTAGCGTCCCCGGTGCAGCTGGCTTCGTTTGTCCCACCGCCCCTCGACGCGCCTCCACCACTTCCAGAAGCCGTGCTTACCGTGTTCCCGGACGGACATGCCTGCTTCGACCATATCCTATTGTCTGCGTTAATTATCCAACGCAAGCTCGGGCTCGAGTTCTAGGCACATACATGCTGTTTTCCGCGTACATCTTTGCATGCAATTGTCTTTTCACCGATCGAAATGCGAGAAGCACTATCGAAATTCAAGGGAAACGGAGTGGAGTGGGCTTATGGAGAAACGCAAGTCGATCAGGTCGCTCCGTTCGTGACAATTAGATCCCGAGACGCCAAAGACTAATGGCGTTGCGGAATCTAATTGTCGATCAACCTGCCTGCGGCCCTTTCGCCAAGGCAAGTCCATACATCGGGTCCGAGAAACCACGGCTTACTTGACCTACCTTACTATCACAGAGCTTTCGTGAACTCGTTCGTACAGGAAATCCCGGCATTACAATTGGGCTTCACCACAGGCGGGTGGGCAGAAAAGCGAGTGTACGACATCCACCGAGTCGGAGGCACAAGGAGCGAGCCATCGTGACCGAGGAATGAACACACAATATCGGAGAGTCGCCGATGCGGACGAACAATAAAACGTGATCTCGAATAGGAAATGTAAGCCCGACAGTCGCGCGGAATTCCACACCTAACGCCTTCTAGCGAGTCCCTACTTCAAATCTACTTACCTCCAACTACTGAGAAAACGAAGCAATGCGACTCTTATTTGTGCTCGTAATATTCCAAGATGATCCTGCATTCTCAACGCCATGAAACCCTTCGCGTGGCACTGAAATGCAGGATCATTCTCGAATCTGAGCGAGATGAAGACAATTGGGAACCGGCCAGAATAGGCATTTTACAATTAGAGCGCGTCCCCGACGTGATGGCATCAACATTCCCTCTTTGCCCAAAGCGGACAACGATGTACTATTATGTCCTTGGCCTGCAGGCATCGGGAGACTGAGCCCGGATCACTCAGAGTAAGTGCCCCTACAAAAGCGATTCACAATCTGCATCCGGGTTATTGTGCCACGAAATCTATAAATCGCGTCGGTGTTTACAACTCCACCAACTTGAACTTGGTCCCGCAATTGCAAAGATCTCCGCGCCGGTCTCTCCCCATCCATTATTTATCCTACTCTCGCCATGCAGCGCCCATCAGCTTCCAGACGCGCCGGACCGTCTAACTTCCAGCTCCCTCGGAGTCTTGTGCGGCCTTCGTTCACCGAGGTTTCGCGCGATGCCCTGCTCGCTGCTTCTCCAGATCTCGGCCATGTATCAGTCGATTTTATTCGCAAAAATCTGCTCGAAACCGCCCCGCAGTGAGTTCAATAATTCCCAGTGTTTTCTCGGTTTTTCTTACTTATGACTTCACGAATAGAATGCTGGCCGGCACTTCATCTCTTTCACCATCACACCTTCCGAGCGCACTCCCAAAGGCAACCCTGCCCCCTTACATCACCGTGCCCCTCTATCCCTCGCGGGACCCTATACAGCCGACCTATCCGACTCATGCCCTCGCCATATCCAACGCGCACCCATCTGGCCCAGATGACATACATCTCATCTTCCCGATCCACGCTTTGGTTCTCGCCGCCCATTGCTCCAAACTTCCCCGGCTCCCTCCTCCCGCCCCGCGGCCGCGGGCGTCTGGGTCCATTCATCTTCCCGTCTTGCCCCTCGCCCTTCCGTCCGCGCCAGCCTTCTCCATCTTACATGCATTCATGTACTCCAAGCGCCTTGATGCCGTCCTGACCGCGCTCTTCCCGATACCCCCACACTTCCTCCGCGCTCTCACGCACAAAACTATCCGCGCTGCGCTGCAGTCGGGCCCCGACCTCCACCACCTCTCTGCCCACCTTTGCGCTGCGTCCGCGGCGAATGTGCAAGTCTTGATGACGCACACCGCGCACGTCAAAGAGCTGTGGCAGGACATGGTGGCGCTGGGCATCGACGACGTCGCGCTTTGGGACACTGTCGAGCTCGCCTACGAGATCGTCCTCGGCGCCCTCAACCTCGCCGTCATGGCAAAATAGCAACACTCGATGTGTGCATTGCTGTCTCACCGACGCTTGATGCGCGGTCTTTCTTCTTTTAATGGGATTCATAGTACAGGGCCGTGTAATAAAAATACAACAATTAAATAAACACATTCAATCTTAAGTAGCAGACATGAAATCCCATGAATCGCCGACTTTCCGCAGCCCCTTCATAATCCCCTTCGCGACCTTCTTTGCTCTGGGTGGCGCTT